TCTATTTGCATTGGAGCTTTCTACGCACGTTTGTTATTGTTGTCATTTTTTTGAAGTTTTGAAAAGTGCAGTTAAATGCGCCTGAAGTTGGGTATGTAGAAAGTGAATTTGAAAACAACATCATCATCATTGAGCAACTGAAGAGCTTATAAAAACAAAAGAGAAGCTAAAGCTTAAAGCGCAAAAAACGCAAAACGAAGAAAGCAAACAACAACAAAAAAAAAAAAAAAAAACACACACACACACACAATTAAAAGTTCTACGAAGCGAGGGTTTTCTTTGCGTTTCAGATTCGCACACAGCAAGACACGCAGCCAATGTGGGGAGAGTCAAAGATGGAGCCAAAAACAAACGCACATATATGTATGTATGTATATACACATATATACATACATACACTGGGACCCACACAATCTTAGCCACGCACTTTCTTTGAATTTCGTTTTAGCGCCAGTTTATTATTGTTGCTAATTTCAAAAAAAAAATAAAAAAAATAAATAAATAAATAATAATAATAATAAATAAAATACAAAAAATAATTGTGTTGGCAGTGTGCAAGAGAGAGCATGAAGAGTTGCTTTTGCAGTTGATGTTTTTGCTTTCGGTGCCGCTGCTGCTGCTACTGCATATAAAAATAGCAAAGCGATTGTCTAGCGACCGAGAGAGTAAGGCGCGAGAGCGATGTTTGCGTATGCGTGTGTGGGTGTGGGAGTCGGATAAAGGACATTGCCAGAGAGAGAGAGAGGGAAGGAGAAAGAGCGCGCGATTGAAAGAGAACTGGTTGAAGTCAATGTCAGAATTGTGCCGACGTTGGCAGCGCTGCTTTGCTAATGTTGTTGCCGTTACATACATACGTATGTATGTTTAATTTACACCATTGAGTTTTGTCATGCTTATAAAATTTATTAAAAACAATATAGCACACACACACGCATATACTGCGACAAAGACGACAGCTGCATGAGCCAAGGCACGCGCTTTGTGGTATGGGCACGAGAAAAAAGCTTACACACACACACACACGAGAAAAGCGAAAAAAGCTAAACCACGAATTCGAAAATCTCTGTTTGGTTTTTTACTTTATTTTTATTTCTAATTTTTTATATACACTTAGTATACGTATTTTCAAATTGGGATTTTGTAATTTGTATTTTGTGCACCTACGGTATTATTATTATTATTTTTTTTTTTTAATCTTGTTGCCAAAATGGAATTCGAAAAAAATAGATTGTTATTACTGACGCAACGGACTGACGTCGTCTGCTGCTTGCTGCGACGACGACGCGCACGGCACGGCTAAACAACGTATAATGAAAACGACAGGCGGCAACGCAAACGTTGACAAACTGCCAACAGCGCCAACGGCGAGAGAGAAAGATTACTAGGCGAAGAGAGCAAGACGGAGAGCGAAAGAGGAAGAGAAAGAGAGCGTTTCATGGAGCTTGCGCGTGCTTGTACTGTTTTTTTTTTCTTCTATATGTATGCATGCGTGTGCATGATGTATGTGTGTGTGTTTTTAGTGTGTAGGTGAACAGGGTGAAGCGCAAATTTGTATGTATGAGAAAAGCACACGCGCGACGTACAAAATGGGTCTGTTGTGCATGCTGGTAGCGCCCCGCCCCACCCCGTCAAGTAAACTAGCTAAACACACACGCACACTAATATATATGCATGTACATATATAAGTACATATATATGTATGCTATGAGCACGTTTGAATGTATTGCGCTCTGAAAGGGCACATGCTAAAAACAAAGCCAAAAGCTGACGAACTGGTCCGCAGCAGCAGCCAAAATCGACATCGCTGCGCCCTGCACTTTGAACCGAAATTACTTTTACACTGACACACACACAAACACACACAGAAATGTACACAGTTATATTTATATGTATGTACATACATATGAATGTCGAAAATGCACGGATGTATGTATGTATTTACATATATATGTGCGTATATATGTATGTATGTATTTGTTGTTTTGTATTTACCATTGATATTGTTTGTTGTTATTGTTGCTTTCTTTTACACACACACATACACTTGCACAGTTGAAACTATCTTATAGATACACTTGAAAAAAATATGCGATAAATTTGCAAAAATTAACAAAGGTTCTTTTAGCTAGCTGCTGGTTTAGTGTGTTGTTTTGTATTTTGAATTATTTTTGATCGCTCGCTCTGTTACTCAGCTTCAGCTCCTACCCGCACACACTGCAATGACACAAGCAAAAGCAAACTAAAAATGCTGGCCAGCCGATGGCTTTTACTTTGGCACGGTTGCCGTCGCAGTCGCAGTCGCAAGCGTTGCGCCAACAGCCGCAGCAGCAGCCGAAGCATTCGCAAAAACAACAAAGGCAAACGCACAGTGCAGTCACTGAGTGCGCGAGAGCGAAGAGCGTAAGCGCGAGCGCACGTGACGTGGTGCCGTTAAAATACGTGTGCTTTGTGTTTGTGTGAGCGAGAAACAGGAAGAAGAAAGAACAACAACAACAGCGGCAGTGGCCGTGGCTGAGGCAGAAGCAGCGGCAGCGGCAGCGACGCCAGAACTATGTATTTGTAAATAGCGGCAGCGAGAACATTAGGGTGGCACCGCAGCGGGGTATTAGACCAAATGTGCTCGAAATATGAGCGAATAGTTTATTTTGTAATGAACTTTAAGGCGAACTGATAATACCAAGTCGGTAGGCACTAAGCAGCTGTTGTTGGGTTTGCTAATTGGGAATTGGGTTACAATTACGGCACTTGTATAACACTTGGAATTGTTTTAAAGCCCCTTATACTTGCATATACAAATAAAAATACTCTGAAAATATATTTTGTAAGAAAATTCAAATATTTTATTTGTATTTGTATTTTTTTTTTTTTACAATAAATAATTTTCAATTGTAATGAAAAATCTGTAAGTATTCAAAAATTTGAAAATAGTGTTTGAGCCACCCTAAGATGTTATGTTTATGTTGAGACGCTACGTCTGCAAAGCCAATATCAACTGCGACTGCGACTGCAACAGCGACTGCAGCAGCAATAGCAACAGCGGCAGCAGCAGCAGCAGCAGCAGCAGCTTCTTTATGCTGCGTTCTCAGCGTCAACAGTTGTAAGCTATTGTTTTTTGTTGTTATTGTTGCTGCTGCTGGCGCGCTGCAGCCGCTTTTTATGCACTGTTTCGTTTTCCAAAATGTTTTCTTGGCTGGGCTTTTGTTATTGTTATGATGCGTCGTTGTCGTTGTCGTCGTCGGCAATTTCGAAACGTGCTGGCATTTGTGTGGAACGGAACTTGTTTTGATATGCATGGGCTCGTCATAGCGGCAGCGCTGCCAGCGTCGCAACGCGTAGTATGTAATAGCTGCAGCGCAGCGGCAGCAAACTTGCAGCCGCAAACAACAGCGACAGCAGCAGCAGCAGCAGCAGCAACAGCAACAAAAACAGCAAATTGTTTGTTTTTACAATTCCTCTTGCATTTTACTTTGTTGTGCGTTTTTCTGTATATGTACAATTTTGACTATATGTATGCATGTATGTATGTATGTATGTATGTATATACTTTATGAGGGGGCAGCTTGTAGCATAGCCGCTGTGCGTTGCGCTCGCTGCCAGCGTCGCTCCCAAGACAGTGAAGTTTGAAGAAGGTTCATTGTACTTTTTTGGGTTTCATCTCTGCCCTCTTTTGTTGCGCTTCTTCTAAACATCTTACAGATTTTGTTGTTACATTCCGTGATGCGCATTTACCCATACAAATGTTTACGTGTACATACATACTACGTACATACATACATATGTATATTGCTATGTATGTAGGTGTGCGTATCTGTGTGTGTGTGTGTATGTACATATGTGGGTCAGAATGTGTTATTTGAAATGCGTAGTTATTAGTTTTAAGTTTCTTTGTTAGAGTGCGTACACAAAATATATGTAAATATGCATATGTATATGTACATACATAAGTATGTATGTACTTACTTTACATATGCATGCATGCACATCCAAGCCAAGATATGCATGTATGTATGTACTTGTACACATATGTATGTATGTATGCGTGTGTGTGTGTGTGTTTGTACATGTGCACATCCAACTGGCGAAACAAGTTGTTGACGTGCCAACCAAAACAGGAATATGAGGCCAGCCTCAATAGAATGCAACGAAAACTGGCTAAAATCTTAACTGATAACTACTCGCATTCTAGATATCCCAAAAAGAGACGTTATTTGATATACGTATGCATACCCTATAAGGGGAGTTGTATATGTATGTATATGTATGTATGTATATGTATATGTATATGTATATGTATATGTATATGTATATGTATATGTATATGTATATGTATATGTATATGTATATGTATATGTATATGTATATGTATATGTATATGTATATGTATATGTATATGTATATGTATATGTATATGTATATGTATATGTATATGTATATGTATATGTATATGTATATGTATATGTATATGTATATGTATATGTATATGTATATGTATATGTATATGTATATGTATATGTATATGTATATGTATATGTATATGTATATGTATATGTATATGTATATGTATATGTATATGTATATGTATATGTATATGTATATGTATATGTATATGTATATGTATATGTATATGTGTATAGACATAGATATTGATACTGATGCGAATACTTTCAAGAACTTCCTTAATCACTATATAATAAATCCTATCCTAAATCACTATATAATAAAGATGGAATAGATCTAACGCCATCATATAGGTATGTATGTACGTATGTATGAGGTGAAGATCTTAGTGATATATATGTAGATATCAATATTGATATTGACATACGGAATTGTTGAGCACGGACTATATTTATCCAATAGGTTAACTTGACTGCGTTCGATTTGCTTAAAAATTAAGTTACAATATATTTTTATTTATAATATTATTTATTTGCTCAGTTGTGGTTGTTTGCGCGCGTGCACAATCTTTTTAGTGCGACGGGCCCTATAAAACATGCAAGTTGGCCTCTGCGAAAAGCAGTTTTTGTCTTCACGCCCAGTGAAGGGGTAGAGGAAACTATGAAACTATTAGTGGGTTGTCTTATTGGTAATCTCATATACATATATACATATATTCATATATAGTAAAGTACCCAAGATCCGCTAATTGTTAAACATCCATTCTATCAGCGATCGCGGTGCTTCTGTGCATTGCTGATCTCTCGTCAGCCCAGTGCCAGTGCGAGGAAGCTACCAAGAAGCCGCCTCTGGCCAAGAAGCCACCTCCAGGGAAAGATGTGGGCCAGCCCATTCCGACTCCCCCTCGCCCACCAGTCGTTGCAACTTGTAGAAACAAGAAACCAGCGATAAAAACAAAGAAGACGACAAAAACATGTACAGTGAAGACAACAAAAAGAAAGCCAAAGAAGACAAAATGCAGGACGAAGAAGACAACCCGCAAGCCAAAGAAGACAACGTGCAGGACGAAGAAGACAACCCGCAAGCCAAAGAAGACAACATGCAGGACGAAGAAGACAACACGCAAGCCAAAGAAGACAACATGCAGGACGAAGAAGACAACCCGCAAGCCAAAGAAGACAACGTGCAGGTCGAAGAAGACAACCCGCAAGCCAAAGAAGACAACATGCAGGACGAAGAAGACAACCCGCAAGCCAAAGAAGACAACGTGCAGGACGAAGAAGACAACCCGCAAGCCAAAGAAGACAACGTGCAGGACGAAGAAGACAACCCGCAAGCCAAAGAAGACAACATGCAGGACGAAGAAGACAACCCGCAAGCCAAAGAAGACAACATGCAGGACGAAGAAGACGACAAGGAGACCGAAAAAAACAACATGTAAACCTAAAAGGACAACAACACGAAGGACGAAGAAAACGACAACATGTAAACCAAAGAGGACAACAACATGTAGACCAAAGACGACAACATGTAAACCAAAGAGGACAACAACATGTAGACCAAAGACGACAACATGTAAACCAAAGAGGACAACAACACGAAGGACGAAGAAGACGACAACATGTAAGCCAAAGAGGACAACAACATGTACACCAAAGACGACAACGACCACAACAATATGTCGAACAGCAACTACAACAACATGTCCAGCAACAACTACAACAACATGTCCAGCAACAACTACAACAACATGTCGAGCAACAACTCCACTACCAACAACAACAACCACAACGACAACAACAACAACCCCAACGACAACCCCAACGACAACCCCAACAACAACCCCAACAACAACCCCAACGACAACCCCAACGACAACCCCAACGACAACCCCAACGACAACCCCAACGACAACCCCAACGACAGCTCCAACGACAACAACAACGACGACGACTACTACTACAACAACAACAACAACAGCCCCAACGACGACGACTACTACCACAACAACAACGACAGCTCCAACGACAACAACAACGACGACGACTACTACCACAACAACAACCCCAACAACAACCCCAACGACAACTCCAACGACAACAACAACGACGACGACTACTACCACAACAGCAACAACAACAGCCCCAACGACGACGACTACTACCACAACAACAACAACAGCTTCAACGACAACAACAACGACGACGACTACTACCACAACAATAACAACAACAAGAACAACCCCAACAACAACCCCAGCGACAACCCCAACGACAGCCCCAACGACAACACCAACAACGACAACAACAACAACGAAAACAACCCCAACGACAACAACGACAACACCAACAACGACAACAACAGATCGTCCTACAAGACCACATAAGCCCTGGAATCCGTGCCGTCCCTGCGGGCCAGGTGGTCCACCCTGCCTCGACTGCCCGCCCCACCAATGGCTATGCTCCGAGCTTCTGGCCCAAATCCGCGAGCTTGAGTACGTGATACAGCGTTGCGTGTGCGGACACCGTCATGGCTAGATGACTTGGAGAAGAGCTCCTTATCGTAATGGCAAAGCAAGAACTTTCCCCTTTTAGCTATTGTCACTGACACTTGTTGATTATTTTTCCATTTTTTTTCATTTTGTTTGAATTTTTAATTTAATAAAATATATGTTTTGTTTAAAATATTTGACATTTTAATGCTTCATTTCTTGTGGTTTATAGATTGAAATATGATCGATATATCTTACTTGAACGGCGTTGTCCAAGTCTGTCAAGTCTCCTTTGAATCCCTATTCAACATTTAGACCCCATTCACTTTTGTTATATTGGTGGAATGATGACGACGTCTATAGGACTGCATTTCGGCTAAGTTCATTCCATAGAATTCACATAATACTCGGCCTAGACCTAAAATCAACTGAATTAGCCAACTAAGTTTCAGCTGCCTTATCAATGCAGGTGTAGCGGCCACGATTACTTCAGGTGATGCTTGGTTTAAGGTGTAACAAGATGAACGATAAGTCTTCCATTCCTTTGCTAAACATTGATGAAAATCCTTATAGAACTTCAGTTATTCATATATATACAAATACACAAAATATTTATATATAATACTACATATGTATATGTATATCTAGTGGATGAAGGCTCTGATACCAGCAAATTCCAGTTAAATCTAAAGCTAGTAGGTCTTATTATTGAAAACTATTGTAATCCGTTAGGGATCCATCTGATATTAGTTTTTAAAGATTTTAACCTTATGTTCCGAAATCAATTTTAATAAACGAAGAACATCTCTAAAAATATTCTATAAAATAATATGAGTGCGATATTCAGACATAAGAAAAATACTTATGACCTGAATTTATTGATTTAGTAATTACTCTTTAAGTTCCGATGAAAACCAGATTTTTTATACCCCTGATTTCCCATTTTCAATGGTTTTGTGAAAAGTATGTAACAGGCAGAAGGAATCATCGCAGACCCCATAAAGTATATATATTCTTGATCAGGACGACGAGTTGAGTCGATATAGCCCTGTCCGTCTGTCCGTATAAGCAAAAGGATCTCAGAAGATATAAGAGCTAGAGAGCTGAAATTTGGCATGCATACTCGTGTATACCATAGGCAGTACAAGTTTATAATATTTTTTCGATAACTCATCCGATATCTTTTTTATCGATAATAATCGAAAAATCAACTTGATTCTTTCAGCCTAATTTGAATACTTTTAGACCTGGAGACTTCAAATTTGCGTTGTATATAAAGTTAATGGATACAAAGACTTTGTAATTTACAGATTTTGGATACCACGCCCCCTTCGCCCCCAATTTGTAAGATTTTGATTTGTAAGTACTTGAAATGCAAATGCATTTTTACAAATTGGGGGCGAAGGGGGCGTGGTATCCAAAATCTGTAAATTACAAAATCTTTGTGTCCATTAACTCTATTTACAACGCAAATTTGAAGTCTCCAGGTTTAAAAGTGTTGAAACTAGGCTGAAAAAACTAAGTCGATTCTTCGATTATTCTCGATAAAAAAATTATCGGATGAGTTATCGAAAAAATAAAGCAAACTCGTACTGTCTATGGTATACACGAGTATGCATGCCAAATTTCAGCTCTCTAACTCTTATATCTTCTGAGATCCTTTTGCTCATACGGACGGACGGACAGACGGACAGGGCTATATCGACTCAGCTCGTCATCCTGATCAAGAATATATATACTTTATGGGGTCTGCGATGATTCCTTCAGCCTGTTACATACTTTTCACAAAACCATTATACCCTGATTTCCCATTTTCAATGGGTTCAGGGTATAAAAATATTTATAAGGTCATTTATAACTAGTAAAAAAATTCAAATTGAAAATTTTACAATACAATTTTGTTGCTGTCATGCCATGCAGCGAACGTATATGTAAAATAGTATTACCTGATCTTAAGCGGGGTCCTACAATGGCTACGTGCTTAATTTGGAATCTCTAGCTTTATGACAGTATAGATTTTTTTCGACATACCACGCACCCAAATGCGCAACTCAACTGAGCAATCAGAGCTATCCAATTTTCAAATTGATCTTTTTTGAGAAAAAATAATTATAGGAGATGTCTAATATGAATTTTGAAGGAGAAATCCAAGATAACAGCTTAGTTTAATTTCACACTGTAACTGTATCAGAGATATGCTATAAAGATATTCTATAAAGATATTCTATAAAGACTATCAGATAGAACTAATATTCATTTTCTACGATATTACGGATGCTGCTGAGAGAAACTTCATTATCACTTATAAGTGTGATATATTTGTCTATTGACTATCCACACAGAGAACGGCATAGGCTAGGACAATAGACAATAAGAATATATGTAAATATAGAATATATTAATATAGTAATGTATATTAACGCAGACCAAGTATCAACGGGGCACGGTATCCTGATGACGCGCATAAGTCTTAGTATGTATAAGTATACTTTAATGTGTGAATTCAATAAGGAAATCAAAGGTGAATCCGAACCCATTAAAAATGAGAAATGACGGTATAATAATTGTCCGTAGGTGTAAAGGGGTAGTTCTTGGATATTATAAAGGCTAGACTCTTGATAGTTTTTCTTAGGTATTTCCGTTTTAATATTAGCTATTGACATCCACTATCCAAATTTTGCATTTAGATTTTTGTGTAGTTTATACAATTTCGATTATTGGTATATTTTGGATTTCGTCAGATATGTACAGCTGTGTGATAAAGTTTTTTTTATTTCCATTTTTTCAGTAAGCGTTCACGTACGTATAGTATAATATATATATTCAAAATATAATAAAGAAATAAATAGTTTTTGTAAATATAGGTTTCTTTTTTTTTTTTTTTTTACTTTCAAATCTTTAAGGCATTCAATATATTGAACATATATTCATTATTCAATATATATTAAATATAATCGAATTTATTATTTGTAGTGCTTTGAATGGACGTGATAGATCTCTCTAGTATTTTTGCAAACGTAGGCTGCTAAATGTTCGATATTTTCGATTCTATTTGAAACCGTAGATTCATGCGGAAAATGTTGAAATAACTAAAATATGATATATGTAAGATAATATATGATATATGAAAGAATTGGAGTGAGCTTTTAATGGAAGTAAAAGAAGACATACTTCCTTGTTGCCTTAGAAATTGCGTATGCGAGGACCAACAGCCGTAAGGGTCTACGGACAGATGGGGTATGGGCTATAAAGCGCGATCGAGCATCGTTACCTTTTAAATGGGTTTAGGGTCTTATTAATAGGTCTGTTTTACATCAATAATATTGATAAACATACAATGACAATATAAAGTATTACAATAATAATACATTATATTACTATTTGTATCAGTTTTTTATTGCCATTAGTCTTATTCGGCATGAGTTATTCGAAAAATTGTAAATTCGGCTTTCTATATTTAACGTGCAGCTTGCCACAAACTGGCTTTGCAAATATTTGCGGATGAATTTAGTGGCATGTATTTACGCAATTGTTCTGTTCTAAATTTAAAATGCAACGGCAGCTGGACGAGCCCTATAAAATGGGAAGTTCGGCTCGGTAAAGGCATCAGTATCCGCTTTCACTTCTGTTCGGTGTGAGGGTTGTCTAGGAAATACATCGATATGAATTTCATTTTTACCTTCCTGATTGGTAAATTCATATCATTTAACCATTAAGGATTCGGATAAACAGTATTTTATCTTTTTTTTTTTTTTTTCCTTTCAGCTTGCACGGTGCTGGTCTGCTGTGCTAGTTTCAGCTCAGCTGACTGCGGCTGCCCCTTAACTACCAAGCGACCAACAACTACAACGTGTACGACAAGGAGAACAACAACATGTAGGCCAACAAAACCGCCACCACCGTGCACAACAACACCACCGTGTAGGACAACAACCACTGCGTGTCCAACAACGACAACTACCACAACAACAACAACAACAACAACCACAACAACAACAACACCTACCACAACACCAACAACAACAACAACAACTACCACAACAACTACCACAACAACAACAACGACAACAACAACAACAACAACAACAACAACTACCACAACAACAACAACGACTACTACCACAACAACAACAACGACTACTACCACAACAACAACAACGACAACTACCACAACAACAACAACGACTACTACCACAACAACAACAACGACTACTACGACAACAACAACAACGACTACTACGACTACGACAACAACAACAACAACAACACCGCCCACAACAACAACCACAACAACAAGGAGAACAACAACAAGGCGAACAACAACAAGGAGACCGCCATGCCGTCCTAAGCCATGGTGGCCAAACAGGCCATGCGGACCCGGCGGTCGGCCCTGCCTTGGATGCCCGCCCAGAGCACAGCTTTGCGTCCAGCTGCTGTCACAGCTGAAGAGCCTTGAGCGCAAGATCAGGAAGTGCGTCTGCGGCCAGTCACTTTACCTCTTGCCTTAAAGCAAAGATTGACCCATTATTGTGACCGATAACACCGACCGTTGGCTACTACCATTTGAATGCTGTGAATGGATTTACATTTGGATTCGTTGATTAATTTTTTAACGATTGTTAAATTTTTTTTTATCTACTTTAAATTATATACATATTTTGTTGCATTGACGTGAAGACTTTTTACTGTAGTTGGAATGAGGAATTCATTTCAGTTTTGACTGAGATAATCTTACGTATGTATGTAGATAGTACGACTCTAGATAGAAGATATGAAAAAGACTAACGACCATTTTCCTAATCAAAATTATATAATTGTATGAAATCCTTAAAACAAGGAACGTGTATCTAGTCAGGAATATTCTGTAGTCTTTACGGCTCTTTTTCTTCTTATCCTCAACGAGGATCTGGTCAATGAGACTATGGACCGAAGAAGCATTCGAAACTTGAGTCTAGCCAAAAGATGGAGCAGCTCAAAAGGCAAACTTAGATTAAATTTATTTATATATTTTTCTTATTGAGGTCTGTTTACTCAATTGCTCCATACCTATTGGTGAATATCGTATACCCGTTTCATTAGGTCATCATATTTTAAGTTGACTGATTCTGTGGGTTAGAAGAGCTAGAAGACCTAAGTAAGTACAGTGATCCATATCAAGAAACCCTGGGGATCGATTCCTTTAGTGAGAGACAATTTCGTGAGACAATTTCAGCAAAGCGGTTCGAGGCCAGTACGATTACGATTCTATTAGCAGGATCCACAGTAGCAAAGGGAATTACAATATTATAATGACGTCACTCTTAGCATAAACAATACCAACAACGATGACAAGAACAACGTGTTCAGCAAGAATGGAAACTATCCTAACTACAGCAACAAAGCGACGTCGACAACAGCAACAACAACAGCAACAACAGCCACAGCAACAAAAGCAACAACAGCAACAGCAGCAACAACAACAATAACAACAACAAGAACAGCAACAACAACAAGAACTGCAACAACAACAACAACAACAACAGCCACAACAGCAACAACAACAATAGCAACCACAGCAACAACAACAACAACAACAACAACAGCAATAGCAACAACAGCAACAACAGCAACAACAACAACAACAACAACAACGGTAACAACAACAATAGCAACCACAGCAACAGCAACAACAACAGTTACAACGACAAGAACAGCAACAACAACAACAACAACAACAGCAATAGCAACGACAGAAACAACAGCAACAACAGCAACAACAACAACAACAGTAACAACAACAACAACAACAGCCACAACAGCAACAACAACAATAGCAACCACAGCAACAACAACAACAACAGTTACAACGACAAGAACAGCAACAACAATAACAGTAACAACAACAACAACAACAGTAACAACAACAACAACCGCAACAACAATAACAGTAACAACAACAACAACAACAACAACAACAGTAACAACAACAACAACCGCAACAACAGCAACAACAGTAACAACAACAACAACAACCACCTGTAATGATGCCCATTGATTGGCATTTGATATTTGAAATTTGCATTGCTGCGTTAGAATAACATGCCAATCTACGTATGTATGTTGGTATGTATGTACATATATATTTTACGTTGATAACTGTTTTTACGTATTGCATACTACCTTATGTTAGTTTAATTAAAAGTACGACGAATAGGCTGTAATTAAAGTGAAATCTTATGGAATGTTCGATATACAGGTCCGGTTATAACGATGCTCAAGGGACCGTCGTTATACCCGGAAAACGCTTTAGCCGTATACGTTTGCTCATATACATAAGTTTGTCTGGGCAGCAAAATTTTCATTGCAATCACCGTACGGACGTCATAAGCGGAGTCGCTATAACCGGATTTTCAAATCAAGACCTGGATCTCGTTGTTCAAAGATGTTTCGAAGTAACCAATACACATTTTAGCCAGGTTTGTCCTATGGGACATGTCCACCAAGGAATTTGAAAATGATTAGTTAACATTATTCCGTTAAGAGTGAGCAATGGGCTGTTACGAAAACGATTGGTCAAGGTCCCATTTTGCACAATTTTCATTGATGCGATATAGATATGTAGGTATGTACATCTATAGGAAGCATCTACAGCACTATTATTCTCATGAGCAGAACTGTAGATTCATAAAAAAAGGCTGACAAATCAAAGCAGATCAAGTGAAATTGAATGTATCGATAAATATCGATACCTAACATTAATATATAAATCTCTGCTGTGTATTTCTTTTCACTCAATAAAGTCATTTGCGGCTATATAGAAAATGAAGCCATATGTGGATGCGAGACAAATTTTTGGCAAATTGGTAAAAGTTCAATGTGTCGATGAGAAACCCTGAAACACAAGCGGAAGCACAAGCGACGGTAACGGCAAACGCAAAAGCAAACCTAAAAGCAAAGGCAAAAGCAATGCGCAATTATCAGATATCAAGCGTCAAAGCTTGAGCGCTGCCTGCACAAGACAGGAAGGAGTAGCAGCAGCAGAAGGAGCAACAGAGGCAGCGCCAGCAGCAGCAGCAGCAGCAGCAGCGGCAGCGGCGACGGCAGCAGATGCAGCGTTGCAGAGAGCGCTTTATTTACACACATACATACATACAGACATACATATGTACATGTATGTAGAAGCCCAAGTGAAGTTTATTGTGAGGCAATCAACAACAAACCTAAACACAAACAGGCAGCAGAAGGCAAGAGAAAACGGTTTATTATTGACACTCAGAGAGCGTGAGTGGATGTTGGGTAGGGAGAGCCAGAGAGCCAAACGAAGAGCGAGAACGAGAGAGTGAGAGAGCGTGAGCCTGACGAAAAACCGGGTGAGTAAGGAGCATGGTACGAAAACAATAACAAACGTGCGTCTATCGAGAGCGAGCAAAGTGGATTGAGAGCGCTTTCGGCTGGCGAAAGACAGTGTGAAGCAGTAGTTAAGAAAATGCGTCGCAAAAACACGGCGCAGGTGCGCAGAGTGCAAGTCATGGCTGCCGGTCAGGACGAACGGAAAAACTGAAGCGAATGTCGCCATCGAAACTGTATTGACATTGATATGACATGCGGGGCGTGCGACAAGTGGGAGAGCAACAAAAAAAGAACTGTAAAACCGGAAAATAACTTCAAGAATACGACAAATAGCACACACACACACACACACACACACACACAGAGACAGCTGAATCGGCAACAATAACAACAATGTGCAACGTGCGTACGCAACAGAGGGCACAGAATGTGAACAACGGCAAAGATGTGGAGTAGGCTGAAAGAGAGAGAAAGATAAAGAGAGAGAGATAGACACAGGGGGGATAAAGAGAAAGAGAGAGCGAAAGCAAACGACAGAGAGGGAGTGAAGCCAGAGAGAGAGAACGCCACGTATTCGCCGCGATATGAAATGTGAATGAAAACAGCGAAACGCCAGCGTCAGCGTCACCGTCTGCGTTGGCGTCGTTGCTGACTGTGCAACAATTTGTTGCCGCAACATGCGCTCTCCAAGTGTACGAGTGAGTGAGCAAGCAAGCCATGAACAGAGAGAAATACAAGCAGTCAGAGAGGAAGGAAGAGAGGATGGGGGTGTGTAATAGCAATAACAGCAACAACAACAAAAACAACAACAACAACAACTGTTAAATTGTGCAATGAAAGCAGCAAATTGTCAACGGTGCGACGCCTCGGCAGACATGACGCAAGCAACGACGCCGACGGCGCTGCGCTCACCCACACACACACACACATAAATTAAGCCGCTTCGTTTGGCTGCATTGTCCTGGGGATTTCCTTTTGCTACTTTCGCTCTAAGTTCGCGCGCAGCTCGCGTGCGCTTAACTATTTATAAAAATGTCCAGGCACCTGGACTCGGACACGGACAGGCACCCGCACCCGGACCCGAGCTTGGACTCGGACATGTTGACGTTGTCGCTGACAGCCGGAACTGCAAGTCGCAGCCCCCACCCACCCATCCACTCCTAGAATTCTATACGCTGCACTGCGATTGCAGAGCCATTTGTGCAAGGCATCAACTTCAAAATTCTACACATAACTATTAAATGAGAGATAATGAGCTAAGTGCCCACCTGTTCGGGCACTTTGAGGACTCTGAGCACTTTTTGTTCATTTCTAACGCCAAATCAATAAATGTCAATATACATATATAGGTAAATATCTGACAAACCTCTTCTAGATTTTCTTTGCAGCTCGAGAGGTTAAAGAAAGGATCCAATTTAGCCTTGGATAAAAGGTAAAATTTGGTAAAACACTGTAATATGACAAGTGTGACCAGCTACAAAAATCGAAAAAACACATATTTCTGACTTACAAAAAAATTTGCCATACCACTTTCTTGATACCCATTGCGAAATAACTCAATTTAAACGGTATGTTGCAGATATGCAACAAGGCCGTATAAAAGGTTAATAGCTGGAGATATCTTTAGTAGACTAAATTTGTTTGGATAGATATTTAAGCTATTCTTCACTTAAGTACCTATAGACATAGACGAGCTTATGATAAATATACATATATCTACATACATGTATCTAGTTTTATCTAGCATACACAACCGTTCATTCTATTCATTCAGGAATTGAGAACGTACATATATTGCTTCTGTGTGCTTTTCTATCAGTTCGTGCACCAACTCATCTGTCTATCTATCCATCCCTTTTTCCTTCTCTCTGTCTATTCCATTCGATTATTCTTCCGTTCGCCTGTTTCCCTGTATAAAGCAATCTTCTTCTTATATATAGTAAGATTTGAAATGGAAAATATAGTCATGCGCGCTCTTATCTGTGGCGTGGCAAATCGGATCTGACTATCTAGAATTATGTACAAATTTCGAATTATTTTAATCAGAGTTGGTCTAAGAGACTTGAAATTTAGAATATATACTAGAACTCAAAACCCAAAATCAAAAATTCAAAAATTTATATAAAACCATCGAGGACGATGCATGCCTTAAAAAATCTATATCTTCTAAAGTTGTAGAGCTAGAAGCGTAGAAATTATGACACTGAGCTACATCTAACCTGATTAATTGATGCATTACAAGTTATATATACTTATGTATATATGCCTATATACCTCCTGAGAAGTGGCATATTGGAAAAAAATAATTGTTTTAACTCTTGTAGTATGCAGTTGGTTTACTTCAGATTCCTTCGTGTCGTCTTTAATTTTGTTGTAGATTTCAACATTTTAACCTGTTCTCAACTTTTGATTTCCAGCGAATTGATCGAAGTATTCATTATTAAAGATTCAGCCTTTTGGCTTGCTATTCATTCACATTCCATTTTATATTACAGACGTGGAATTTCTCGTAAATATCGAACAGTAAACACCGAAGTTATTCAATAACACATTTTCCCATTTCCCAAAAGGAGTCTCAAGGAGGTGGGGAAGAAGCAGGCGGCGGGAACAGAAGCAGCCGCAAAAATAAATTACGCAGTTTGCAATGTGCGTGCTTGTGTGGGTAGCTGTGCGTGTGAGTACGAATTCGAATGTGCGTATGTGTGTGTGTGTGTGTGTGCTTGTGTGACTTCTCGCTCGTGCGAGTGTGTGGATGTTGTAAAGGACAGCTCGAGCTATGCCTGAATAGGATGTGCGTCATGGCATTGCTGGTTACAAGGTATCTGGGAGCCTGTCAGACAACAGCACACCATTCCGTCTGCCTCTGAAATCATACGCGTCTAATATTTTATTGTATTACGGAGATCTGAACCAATTACAAAGTAATACGCAATCCCAAACGACAATTATCGAATGGCTTTTCTTGGATTCCATTTGCTCAGATTTCTTTTATACATCCACGTTATGTCTTAGCTCCCACCTGGTCTTTGAGCTCACCTGGCCTTTCAGGCTTCACCTCTCCTTCAGAAAACTTCAGTTTAGCTAACACAATTCCATAACGCAGGATGAACAAGATTGCAGAATAGCTTACGTATTATATATATATGATTATGCAAAAGCATTCTATTTTCAAGATCGAATTGTGTTTTTTTTTCTGAAATCTAAAGGATATTACGTACTTAATTTATAAGATACAGAACCATAGACTTTAAGAGTCCAAAAATTTATGGCTAGACAGTTAACGTCGTGGCAAATTAAAACAATAAGTCTTAATGTGAATATCTGAATATATATAATGTGAATATCTTGCAGAAGCCAATATAGAGATCTATTAACTCTCTTGAGAGTTAAGAGCTTTCCATAACCCACTACACAATGCTCGTTCATAATACTAAATATGTCAGATATCAAATATATTCTGATTATAATTTTAGAATCTATCAATCGATTCTGAGCTGATGCAGGAGTTAATAGGGGAATATAAAGGTTTTTATGTTAATGGTAAAAATGAGAGTTTTTCTTTTTCGTTTGTCACGCCTTCAATGATTATACACTCAAAAACATTCTATTGGACAACAATATCAAGCAGAGACTTTTCCCGATAGACCTTCAGCATGTTGAGTATTACTAAAAGCAAATATACCCTAAGCATTAGTTTTGTGAACGAGCATGAGAATAGATTTCAAAACATAAAAAATTATAGAATTTTAAATGAATTTTGCACATGATTTTTATAATACCAATATGCTCGTTTTGAACGGTATGAAAAAACAAAAATCTTTCTAGAGATCTACCAAAAAGTTAGATAGACCATAAATTTGTTCACAATTTCGAATAGAGGAATTCCTCTTGGATTCAATGTGCATGTATTATGCATCTATTAGTCAGTCAGTCAGCCAATCAATCAATCAATCAGCCAGTCAATCTGTCAATCAACTAAAATATGTTGACTTTCGAATAACAGTTTAGGCAAGAGTATTTAATCTCTGCTTGCTTGCACACAAATTTCACGCTTGTTATACCCTAAACTCATTAATAGAAGAATTTCATGGGGCATACTGGAAGCGTTGGGGAATACGTTGCAGAGAGAATGAATTTCATGCCTATTCTATGACTTTTGAATGTGTAAACATATTTTTAAGCAGCATCTCAGCAGTCACTGAAACTAGATATGCTATATATGAGAATATATAAACCACGTTTCCTTTCTTTTTGATGTCCATCTTATTGCTTGGAAACTTTGACTCGGTTCTTTGAGCATAAAGAGCATTCGAAATTAGGTTTCCAGGTTCTCTATCTCAAGTTTCTTGAAGAAAATACCAAAACTAATTTCAGGTAGTAGTAGAAAGTTATCATAGATATATAGGGTATCTGCTAGTCGTGGATTATTTGCGACTGCGGCAGTGCCTTACTTGCTTTTCGTTAGCTGTTTAAGTTTTTTAATTAAAATTCCATGGAATGGCAGCAGCTGAAGCACTTGACGTGACTTTGCACTTGTTTGTTGCTCTTGTGGTTGTTGTTGTTGTTGTTGTAGCTTCTGTTGCTGTTGTTGCGGTTGCTGCAATTTGCACTGCATTTGTGAGGTTTTATTTGGCAGGGCCTTGTTACTCATACGCCATGTGACCCTCGCAAGGGTTGGGCCCGAGCGAACGGGTTGAAGTAACTCCAGTAAATGCCAAGCACAGTGCTCGCTCGACTCTTGCCAAAGAGATGAGCTAGACGTAAGTACATACGTACATATATTGTACTTGTTTGGGATATTACGAATATCTATCACGTGTATCGTTTGTCTTACGCAAATGAGTGCCGTAGCGCTTAAAAGAAATAAATAATTAGTTATAGGTTGAAGAATGTGCGGATGGAGAAAGTAATATGAAAGAGGAGTTGAATGAAGATGAAGTTCTTTAACTATATTATATATCTGTTATATCCTTCGGGTAGATCCATTTACAATCTACATTCAATATCTAATTTCTTATGTGATTCCTCATTCGATAAATTAAATTATTAAATGATGAATCTTAAAATTTGACATGCAGTAGAATCCGGCTATAACGACTCCATTGTGACGGAAATTCGGGTCCCTAGACAAGCTAACATGAGTAAATCTATATGGATATTGGATCTTCCGGATGTAACGACGATCTCTTGAGCGTCGCTATAACCGGATTGTATTTTATGTCCATATAAACTTATCTATATTTCGCTTGGGCTGTAATATATAATCAACTAGGAAAAGTTTAAAGCTAAGGACAAACTCTGACTTAAGATTATAGAAAAAGAATATCTAAAGAAATTTTTTACATAAACGATATTCAAAACCTTTCTCATTAGATGCTTTCAGTCTGTTTTTGACTGATTGATTGACGTTAAGAAAGATTTTCTAAAGCAAACAAATTGAATCACCCATGCTCCCATAAATTCAGTTGTCGAAAAAACCTCTGAAAATTGCGATTTATTGAAAATATTCTATGGTTAAAATACGTTCCATTATACTTTTTCAGTGCATGCAAGTTGAACATTTGTACATTCATTTACAGAGTGAAAAGAGTATATAGTCTCAGATCCTATAAAAGTATTGTGAATACGTGTCTGTACAAGCTACTGAAGCTAGGGAGTACAATTACATATTGAATATATTTTTATATCTTAACTTTGAAGTCTGAAGCTTATCAGGAAAGTATACAAAGGAATTTATATACATATATACATTTTATACATACATATTCTCGTTGTACTTTGACTTCATAGCCTTAAGATTTGGATATGTTCACTGAGCGCCTAGCTTATCGAGAGTAGATTATTTGTTGTAACTGCTAAAGAGCTGCTCGTTTAATCACAATACCATATTAACTCAAATATTGCAAGTGGTACCAATACTAAATAAATCTCGAGATAGAAAATTTTTATATTCTGCAGCAGGAATTTCGTTTTTGTTGAGTTCCTCTATAGCTTTACAAAAACAAATTATCTTGGGTCACTTTTTTAACAAACCCTCGATCAAAGACATAACGAACAAACTATCAACAATATGTCAGTAGTAAGTAAGTAAATGTCCTTGAGTATGTATACCTGTCAAGACTCAAGAGAATTCATCCATTTGGTTCTCTTGATGTTAATATTGTACTTCGGCTAAAACCCTCGTCAAAACGAACACGAACAAGTCTAGTTTCCTCGTCTTATGAAAATTGAAATTCACTTCAGTTGCACGAGTATAGTTTATGAATCGCCCTTCTCCTCGAGGTACTCTATATATAGACCTATGTAGACTCAAAATATATTAGCCAATGTGCTCTACTTTCTTATCAGCAAACATATCAATTTCTTGAAGAGTTTTCTAGAGTCGTGGGAGCAGGCCCATAAGAGATCCATTATAAACAAAAATTATTCTTAGCTTCTCATATGATATATTTCTCGATTGCAATCAAATATTTTGTTGCTAAGACAAAATTCCCCTTATTTTAGCATTGTAAAACTTAATCGAAATTGATATTCCATGGGTATTCGCAGCCAGAGTCCCAGGCACTGTGTTTATGTCATCATCGTATATCATATTTATGCAATATCAAATTAGTGTCAACCAATTGAAAAGGTATGCGAATAGCTACATAGATGTCTCCGCATTGCATTGAACTTGAGCGGTCATCGCTCGCACTTGTTTGCCCATAATGCGATCAGCTTCAGTCTCAAAAGCTAGATGCGTGTTATATACACACATACATACATGCATACAAACATATATAGCATTCACACTTAATGGATGCATAATGTACATGTATATACATGCATATATGTGTGTGTGTATCATATATAGGCGTGCTAGATGATTTTATGCAAGCGAACAGAGTGAAATATCATATCAGATCTTTGCTTGATGGAAAGT